ATATATATATATATATATATATATATATATATGGGAAGTCGCGTATGTTTCTCTAAAGGAATTTCGGCAGCGCAGGGAGTCAAGAGTTTTGATACAGGAGTGCACCTTCGAGAAGGAATAATATTGACGTATACTACGTTGATGGTACGACTATGTACTATATCATGCAAGGTAAAAAATTTTATGTAGCAAAGGACGCAGTCGTACAGAACCCCCCGTGCGATCAAACAAATATAATGGAGAAAAAAAAAAAAAAAAAAAACCCTCGAAAAAAGAAAATGTATATAATACGCGTTTAATAACGTAGCGAAACGTGCGTTATTTTAAACAAGTACCTAATGCATCGCAAAAATTATCACGGGCCATTTCACCGGCACAAAAAGCGTACGTATATATACATATATATATATTATACACCCTTGCTTACACGTTAGACGCTTGCAACAGTGCAGGCTGCACCAGAAAATAATATTCTTCCCTTACTTGTGCCCACATTTCCCCTCCTTTTTTTTTCTTTCATCTTCAAAGGACGTCTTTTTCTTTTGATACGATGATGATGATGATGATTCGGACCCGAGATTATTGCCAGCCTCCGCGCAGGGAGGACGGTATAAGGAGTTAGACATATCTCTTCTTCTTCTTCTTCTTCTCCCCTTGCGGCTTTCTTCTCATTTGTGTATACTTGCTACGGGATACTTTTTTTCTTTTTTTCCCTCCCTCGGTTTTCTTTTTTGCTCGAGATGTGCTGGGTGGGATAAAGTGTATCTATACACGCGTACAGGGAGGCTGCACTTTACACGGGACAGTATATACGGGTGTACCTATATGTATTGTACGTCCAAGTTTTTTTTTTTTTTTTTTTTTTTTTTTTTTTTTCTTTCAAATCTTTTACATTTGGGGGTTTTTTATTTTTATTAAAATTGGTTTTTTTTTTTTTTTTTTTTTTTTGGTTTTTTTTCGACGTACTCACTTGTAGGTATTCGAATTTTTCAGGTCATCGCTGATACAGTAACAAAACCCANTCATATGTGTGTCATGGCTTCTGGTAGCAGGTTTTTAAGAGCTCGAGTTACCGATGTAGGATCTTTTTTTTTTTTTTTTTTTTTTTTGGTTTTTTTTCGACGTACTCACTTGTAGGTATTCGAATTTTTCAGGTCATCGCTGATACAGTAACAAAACCCACGAGCATTAAATACTTTTGCAAATAAACTCCTCGGCCTACTCTACATACACGGCAAATTGCGTATATTATCAGAAAAAAAAAAAAAAAAAAAAAAAACACCCAACCCAAATGTATTTTCAATGATATAATTGTACCATTGGTTTTTATACATACGATACGTGCAATCAGCTGTTGTACCCTACTTTTGCAAATGCTATCCAGGCAAAGACGGACAAATGAAAAGAAAACCCGAAGGGGAGAAAAAAATAAGAAACTGCACAACGTAAGCGTACGTACAAAGGGGCACGCGTACGCGCGCTCGTCATAATATGTTTCATAACGTGGAGTATAACACCGAGTCTTATACGTGTACTTATTCGCACTTGGTGTGCGTAATATATATACATATATTACATATACTTGTGGGAGAGAGACCACAAAAGTCTCTCTCTCTCTCTCTCTCTTTCACGTGCATTGCACTGTATATATAATACTCTCGCAAGTGCGTGTACCTACATAAGTATATTATATGCTACTACTTTAAATGAGTCGGTGAAAACTCGCGACTTTCTATTAATGATGGCTCGCGAGCGCATGTTATTGCACGACTCCCCGCGTTTTCTTTTGTTCCGTTTGAATTTCGTTTCTATACAAAGGTATACGTATACATGTAACAGTGTAACTATTTAATGGAACGACAACAACAAAAAAGTTGTCCATGACAGCTCGCACTCGATGATATATCCTGACCGATTCGATTTAACGGTGTATAAGTGTATATAATACGTATAACGTATAGAATTACCGATCTGCATCAGGTTTTTCCTTCCCTCTCAATCCCCATGTCAACTCTTTGACACACCGTATACAGCCTCGTGAATGTGTTACAATGCACCAGACTCCATCGACAAAAAGCTCATAGATCCCACGCTCCGATGTACATCCACTTTATACTCTCCATACAAAATTCAGGAAGCTCCATTTCGGACGTCTCGACGATTTTCTCGAGCGTTTACAAACTCTCGCAACAACATAATACTACACGTGTATACACAAACGAATGTATATTATGAGGTAGGTATATACATGTGCCTATACTCGTATTATACACGGCTCTCTCGTATTTTCTGTGTTTCGAGGTCGCCAGCGTTCATGGCGCATCGGAGAGGATCGGATGAGTCGGCCGGCCGGCTTTCGACTATACCGGTACGTGCAGCACGTCTGTGTGCACAATGCCACATAAAATTACACAAAACACCGATCCACGGACGTGGAAGAGCCAGGGGATGGATCTGCTATCGGATTTAATTAATCTGACTCCGACGCGTGTGGAGAAGAGCCTTTTTTTCTTTTTTTTGCTTTTTCTATTCTATGGGTATGTATAATTTATCGCGCCAGCAGCAAAGGATTGATCGATCGATCGGAGCATCGTATAGGTACATGTGCAGCTTTCGCTCGTATATATACCCTAAGCTTCGATCCAGCAAAACGAGTATATAAATATACACTGCAACGCGCGGTTTTACGAGGTGTTATTTTGTACGCGTTTTGTGCTTGATACCCCAGGTTTTCTTGCTCCCTCGATTACACAGCTGCGTGTTTTCTGTATCGTATATATATACATCCAATGGGTTTATTGGTCCTTTTGCGGGAAAATAAAAAATAAAAAAAGTATGATATACGTACGGGCCGTAAATTAGAAAATGCTCATCGACTTCGTGTAAAAAAACAACTCATTGGGGCTTTTTTTATTGCGAAATCGTTATACCTTTTTCCTTTTCTTACCCCCTGATTTTCATCGCGTTATCCATCGGCGCTGTATAACTATATAATATATTTATACCAGCCGCAATTTATGATCCGCGAGTATATAACGTGGGGAAGGGGGGACGGCAGGTCTATTAGTTTCGGCCTGGATACCGCACGCACATTACACGAATGTGCATTTGTGAAAAATCGGCGAGAGAGCAACGATTGCGGGCATGTGGAACAAAGATTTCAGAGAAAAAAAAAAAAAAAAAAAAAACAATTCCAAGTGATCGTAAGCCCTCCTCCTCGTTGTTGTCGCCCGGTGATATCGTTGTACTATTATTTGATGCGAAAAGAAATGAGTCATACTTTTTTTCTTGCGCGAAACCAAAGTCGCCGGGGCCGACACCCACTCGCGTGGCTTTTGTTACGACAGCTATTACGCGTGTATGTATATATATATATACATACAAGGTACATGCATGAATAATCATTATAAATATATATGTATGTGTACACGCGCTTGGGAAATTTGATGGATCAGAGACGCGGATAGTGTAATGGGACGTATGTCGTCGCGTTGCGTTGCCACTATTGGGAAATATCGGCGTTGGGAGGACGATCATGGGAACGGGGTTGGTAATGTTGGTACAATAATTTGCAAGTATATAAGTATGCAATGGAGGTGTGCGTGCGTGTAGCCATCGCCGTATATAGTTGTATACCTATTGTTCTCGCGCGTGGACGGAGGAAGCGAATGTCTCCGATGATGAAGAAAGTAAAAAAAATTTTTTTTAAATCATGTAGTAGAGGATCGACTTATTGTTGTCATTTCGTTATGATCACCGATGACTCAGCCATGATGTGATCCTCTGATTCCGTATCGGTACAAAGTGCGTGGTTTGATCGATTAACGCGCATTTTGGCCTTAACCTCGATCGCCTCGATGACAAATGTATATGGGTAACACGGGGTAACAAACAGGTGTCAAAAAATTTCTTACTTTTATTTTTTTAATCAACATTTAAAAACACGGTTTGAAAACGCGAGGTCAATATCAATACTTCAAATGAACGGCCATGTAAATATGCACTTACGGTTATTCTCACTTTCGTTGAGCCAAAGATATAAAACCGATCGAGCAGAAAGGGAAGCGAGAGGGTTGCATACCTGTATATGTAGTACACCGGTAAGTATATATTATACCTGTACGGAAACTCGAAATTGGTAAGCGTAACCGGATAAGTCGCTGCGGGTCAACGATCTCGAGCGGAGGGAGAAAAAAAAAAAAAAGAAGGAGAGGCGAAAGGAGACACTCCCCTTGTTATTGGAATCTTCGGCGCGCAACGACTTTTGGAGCGCGAAAGACTATTTTTGATTTTGACTCGAATTTTCCAAAGTTTCCTTCCACACGCGCAAAAGGTGGTACACCGATTCCGCGGCGAGAAAATTCCTCCGTGGAAATTCAATCGGGGTACACCTGTTATACCTACGGCTACATATTATATATATGGAAGCAATCATTTTTCTCTATCGTTTTATGTATAATATATGTATTCACCAGCTTCCGAGCGAGTTCCATTTGCTGGTCGAACGAAATAGAGAAGGAGACAGGCTTACGAAGTCGAGCGCGCGTTGTGTTGTGATTATTGTAATTTCAACCAGTTCCTCCCCCCTCCCCCTCATCTATAATGGGAGCGGTATTTCTTCCTTTTCTTTTCTCCTCCAATCTGTTTTATCATTACAAGTGAAACGAGATGCATTTCTTTAAAAATCCAATAAGCTTTGGGTGTTCTTTTTTCCAACGCCTAAACTCGAACTAAAAGAAAAAAAGGACACGTCCGTCGCATTTCTCCCTCGAACGGAAGGGCAAGCAACAGCAGCTGTCAAGTGTAAAACACAATGACTCACTGCATATACATACACATGCACCATTAGGAAGTGCTTAATACGTAGTATGCGTGTGTCTGTTACAGGAAAACCTCGAAATGTAAAAAAATAAAAGCCTAAGGAAGAATACCCACGTAGGTGTTACTACATTGGAGAGAAAAAGAACGAGGGAGAAGGAAAAAAAAAAGGAAAAACTCACGTTGACCATTCGTGATCCTGGCAAAGGGTCACCGTCTTTACTTGTTTCGCTTTAACTTTCCGCTCCGGCCTTTGAACGATTGCGTGTTGTACAAATGCACTCGTGGGTATTGTATATATATATATATACTTTCAGTTCCCTCCACTGAGGTACACACCTTTTTTTTCCAAACAGATCACAATCTCCACGCGTTTTTTTTTTTTTATTTTTTATTTTATTTTTTTAAAACTACAATAGATGAAGAAAAAAAAGATCTTCCCAGCAGCCGTCACAGAGACATGGTTTTGGTTTTTACATCGCACGCGCGATTTTGCACAAAATGATTAAATAAAAAACGGTTGACGAGAAGGGGGAAAAAAAAAAATCAATTATTCGCAAAAAGAGGAAAAACTATTGCGATACAACCGCGTGAACGTATAATATTTTACAGGACTACAGGCAACGGGAGAAAAATAGAGATGTTAGCTCGCGGTGCGCGGCCCGAGGACTAACGAATCGAGGAGAGCCGATGGCGTTTCACTCCGCGAGCTCTGCCTCCCCCTACACCTCCGCCACGGCTATTTCGCTCTGATGCGGATGCCTCTCTCCCTCCCACTTTCTGTATACTATATCTATATATGCGCGTGTAGGTATATATGTATATAAAATTGCCCGCCGAGCTCACCTGCACCTATAAATATATATATATTACAAGGATAAACGTAGAGGTATACCCATAGCATACAGAGGTTGTACGCGAGTTGTATTTTTTTTGTTTTGCCGATTACTCACTTCCTTCCACGTGCGATTAATTTCTTGGTGTTTGTTTATTTCACCGGTGCTCGGTCCATTGGTCAAGAGCCTCATTTAGTTTAATATGTTTTTTTTTTTTTTTTTTTTTACGGAGATATCGAAACAATTAATCCGCACTCAATATCAATCGCGGATGGGTTAATGGAACTGACAATTGTACAGGTATATTTTTTTTTCCTACCTGGCTTGTATGAATTTCTTTTTAAGAATATTTTGAACTCGTGAGTTCGAGCTGAGTTCGAGCGTGAGTTGGCAAATTTAAACGTACGTGGATACTCCACGAGTACAAATAGATCTTCAATATTTCGAGAAACGGTAAAAATGGCACTATCCTTGTAATTATATGGTGGTTAAAATTAATAAACAAAATAAATACGGGGAGGCGATACAATGACATCCTGTATCAATATTTATCTCCTTGTAAATTAGTTTTTTTAACTGAAAACGCATGCACAAGACACCCGCTCGCAATTTCTGCGCCTATTGGTCTACTTGAAAGTTTTTTTTCTTCTTTTTTTTACAATTTCACTGCGCCTCTTACATAAAAAGGTATTTAACCGGCTAAATTATTACCACTTACGAAGTGATCATGTCACCCCCTAAAATAGTTAGACCATCAGTCACATGGTTAACGACACGCACGGCGCGTCAAATCCCTTATCCTTACCGATCACAGAGAAATTAAGCCGGAAGAAGAGCCTCCAAAAGTAAGTCTACGTAAGTACAAGTAGCCGAGATTTCTCTCCTAATGCAGCAGTGACATTGTCTCTATCTCCAATGGTTGTACTGCAGTAGGTATGATACATAGGTAAGCTTTGAAATCCGCGAAATGAGAAAAGCAAAGACAACAATGAAGAGAAAGAAAGAAAGGAGCTTCTCGGCGCGCGTGCCAAAAAAAGAGAAAAGAAAAGCAAAAAAAAAAAGGGGGGGGAGAGAGAAACAGGGAGAGAAAAGATGATTCGCCGCCCGGAGGCAAAACAACGACTGGTGAAAGCCGTATATACTTATACTTACCGCGGCGGAGAGCATTACTTATAGGTACACAATTGCGCGCGCCAGAAAGTCTGATGGGTACGCGCTCTAGAACACGTACCTTGGTGTTATTTCCTCGACACGCACCGACTCTCGTTTCGAGTTTTCAAATGGACTCGCGAGGTTTCATTTTGGATTAGCGATATTGGGTACAATGAATTGCCCACTACGATTATCCTCCTTAAGTATATAATATATATACGCAAACCCCATCATTTTTTTTTTTCTCAAGAGAAGCAATAAGAGCGGTTTTTCCAATGCGATGCCTTTCAGTATTTATCGTATTATTAATTTCAAGTGTTTTACATCGGATCAGAATGTTAAAAATAACAAAGTTTATTGCAAATATCGAAAAAAAGCTGTTTTGCACTAAAGTTTTTTGCTTGTTTTTTTTTTTTTTTTTTTTTATCACATACTATAGCTAAATTTGTGCTGTTTTCATGAGTCATCGGAGTCAACATCTTAGTGAAAAGATAAAAAAATTTATTTACCAAACACATGATTCATGGTCACGTGATGTAACCGAAAACCATTTCGCGAAGAAAAATTTAATAGTGATAAAGAGTACTGTTTGGGATGAATGCTCATGATAAAAACCAAATATAAATAAAAAAGAAAAATATTCAATTTAGGATTGATAATGTATTTTTTGGGATTCTCTAACGGTTACTGTGGGGCATTTGTTATTGAAAACACACTATTTCATATTTGTATGCTTCCAAGCACATTCGTTTCGAATCAAATACTGAATCTAATAAAAATGAAGTCACAGCTTTAAGTGGCGTACACTTTAATATCACATCAAAGTTTTTTTTTGTCTAGTCGTTTTTATTAAAACTATAAAAATAAATAAAATTAATATGTATAAATATATCTCGGTTTAATATCATAATGCAACAATTTCATACGTTTAATATTTTCGAAACCCCACCAAACATACCATGTGATCACTCCTCGCCAATCACATAACGAATAATAAAGGCCTTAGTATAGTCATACGCGACAATGAATGTTTTAAGGTAGGAAATACTTTTAAATGAAGTATAAAAATTATTCCTTTCATCATTATTACTATTGTTATTATTTGTTTTATTTTTTTCAAGATAAAATAAAGTATACTTCTACGATAAAAGAATTAATATTTAGTTTCAATCACATGCGAAAAAAAATGTTCTTCGTATTATTATTATTATAATTAATTAAAAAAATTCTTTTAATATTTTTTTTTTCAATAGCAGTAACAATCAGTACTTTTTCCCTCCGCTTCCACTTCAAATGCTGACAAGAGTTATTTTTGCTCTTTTATGAACACAACGACAACTTCGAAGAATTTTTAAGTGTAAATTCATGTACATATACTGTACTCACTCACGTGTACAGTACGTGTGTTAGTCGGAAGTATATAATACATTATCACCTTTTTTCGTTCGTAAGTATACGGTTGCAACTCTTGTGAATGATCAGCTTCATAAACTCGGAGATCAGTTGACCACTTTCAGCCGTAAGTACCTATAAATAGAGTACAAACGAGCGTTGGACCGTTGGTATATACACTGGAAAAAAGTTGGTTGGACTGTCTGCTCAACTTTACTGTGTACAGCGCCCCCATGGGGCTGATGCTCTTGCTCACCCATAAAGTTAAGTGTTAAGTGAACAGTGTGAACTGCTATTCGCTCCGAGCCGATGCAGAGGTTGCGCTCCCTCTAGCCAAAATCAGGCAACATTTCTTGCATGTAAACAAACGGTTTAGAACATATATACATACGTACAGCTGCTTGTGATTGGCTGAATAAGACAGCATGAGAGGATCGTCGTTCTCTCTCTAGCTTGCCAAGAGCNCAGAGGTTGCGCCCCCTCTAGCCAAAATCAGGCAACATTTCTTGCATGTAAACAAACGGTTTAGAACATATATACATACGTACAGCTGCTTGTGATTGGCTGAATAAGACAGCATGAGAGGATCGTCGTTCTCTCTCTAGCTTGCCAAGAGCCAATCACAAGCAGCTGTACGCATGTATATATGTTCTAAACCGTTTGTTTACATGCAAGAAATGTTGCCTGATTTTGGCTAGAGGGGGCGCAACCTCTGTATCGGCTCGGAGCGAATACTCATCCAAGTTGGGTGAGCAGAAACACCAACCACTGGGGGCGCTGTACACAGTAAAGTTGAGCAGACATTCCAGCACCCAACTTTTTTCCAGTGTATTCCCTATTTTTCTGGATTGAAGTTATTTTTATGTTTGAATCAGAGATACTCAAGAGTGACAGTTCGTACTATCAAGTGAAAAATATGGATAAAGAAAATTATAGGGATAAAAAGTATCGGGACGACACTGTGTTCCAAAAAATAAATAAAAAGTTTTTAACGCTATCCGATGAGGAAATCAGAAACAACAATGAACATTTGAAAGTAAGTGATGTTTTTATAAACTAAGGTTATAACGCTTCTTTTTTTTCTTAATTACAAGCAAAAAACATTTTTTTTTTTTTTACACAGTCAATCGTTATTCACATAAAATGATTAAAAAACCATGTAACAATACTTGTAGATGGTCGAAAAGGTGTTCATTCCACTTCTGAAAAAGGATGAATTGTTTAACTTGTTGTTCAAAAGAATCATGTACGGTGGAAGTTTTTACAAAGGAACTCGATTCGGCAAGCCGGTAGAGTTCGATTTGGACTGTGTAATAAAGTTACCGATCAACTACATGAACAATATTAAAGTACATGTTTGCGATTATTTTTTTAACTTTTGGAAAAATATTTCCTGTTTAATTAAACACAAATTTGTCACAGATCGACACCAACCATAAAAATTACGGTTTCGTAAGAATAAAAATAAATACAGACGGACCGTTCCACCCCTCGTGGATGAAACATGCGTAAGATTTTTTTTTTTATGTATTATTATTACAACATCAAAGAACTGGATGTTTTTTTATTTAAATATTTTTAGTAAATTACTATCCAAATGGTTAACTGCGGACGGTTTTCTCGATCAAAATAAGTTTCACAGTTGGATGGAGAGAATCGTTACTTCGGCATTTTCGATGCATTCCAAAACGACCAATGGTTCATACGAGATTTTATATTGCGATCGAAAGTACATGGTACGCAAAATTTTAATTTTTACAATTCAACTCAGTTGAAAAATTATTAAATACTTAATCCCGTTTCAAAACACTCAGATAATGCATAAAAAAACTGGGCCGGCTTTCACAATAATTCTCCAAACCCCGGATGGTGCCAGAATCGATGTTGATCTCGTGCCATGTTTGGAATTCGATAACCTACCGCTTGGCAATGGATACAAAAATTTTATTGGCAATGTATGTGTACGCGATGTATTTGATTTTCAACGATATCCCATGAAACGATACGAGCGTTTAATATTATTTTTAGAAAAAAACTTGGATGGCCGTAGCCAAACCATTGTCTTTGGTGACTAACAGTAATTTATTGTGGAGACTGTGTTTTTATGAACAGGAAAAAGAATTTTTGCAGGGAGATATAAAACCCGTCATCAGAATGGTCAAGGTAATCATAGAAACAAAAATATTTATCAAGTGAATTTGATTTTTTTTGTATTACAGAAATTTCGCGACACTATGAAGTGGAAAAGTGTAGCCAGCTATTACATCGAGACAGTATTTTACCACGAGCTGGAGAAGCACAAGCCCGATTTATTTGATTTTTTGAGAGCGCCCAAGACGTATTTGTTTATGCTGGTTAGTTTCAATACAAACACACGTAGACATTTTGCCTCTCATTTAGTAAATACATACTTACTTATTTAATTTAATGGGCCATTCAATTTAAAAGGGATTAAAAAAGCTGCAATACCATCTCGAGAAAAAGGAACTTCCTTACTTTTGGCACGGTAAACACAACTTATTCAGTAAAATGAACTCCTCTCAACTGGAGAGCTATGCAAACCATCTGAAAAAACTTATTGTCAAATTTGATGAGAATATTTTAATGGATCGATATGTTCTAGCTGACCTAGTGTGTGCGTATATATTTCATTTATCCTAATACATTAAAATAATTAAATATTAGGATTTTGCTAATGATTTCATCGTTTCTTCAATTCCAGTGACAAGTTCGGAGGTCAAAACAATTCGAATGGGTAAAATATAAATATGAAATTTTAAAATTAATATCATAGATTAAGTTATTACTGTAAATTATCGTTGACTTGATCTAACTGGTTAAAATTGTTGCACATGTAAAAATTTGTTTCAATGCACATGTAATAAAAATTGTATTTGTAATTTTTAAGAAACTGGAGCATAACCCAACTTTAAAGCTGATGAATCTTCAGTTGAACCAGAAGATTCGCAAAAACCGGAGGCTCCAGGGGGCAATAGATTATGCACTAGATTAGCTGGATGAGAATGAGACGTATTAAGTTGTAAGTAATTAAAGTCGTATTTTATTCAAGTTATTCTGATATATTTTTATACTGCATTGTGAGTGTAACGTGTATTGTACCATGTATCGAGTCAGTTTTGACTGTGTTTAATAATTTTCACTTCCATTGTTTAAGATAATAAAGTAATTAATTTTACCAGACCAAGAAGTATTGTCCATATTTTTTTAATTAGTATAGTTATAAAAATACAAGAATAACAATAATAATACATATTAGTGTTATAAAAAGAAAATAACACAGTCAATTAAAAAAATACTGTTTAATTTAAAAAACCATACATTCACAACGTAATACACAATTACAAGTATACACGTAGAAGTGTGCACATATGTAAACAAAACTATCGAGTTTTAGTCAAAATACTTTTATTGTGAAACGTCAAAGTTTGACGACGATTTCGGATCAAATGGCTCAACAAAGACATATTATGTTTATTAAGTAAATTGAAGCACACTATCTTAGCTATTATTTAAAATGACAAATACACATGCAGCAAAATTTCTCAAAACAATGTTTTTGTATAAATTCATGTTAGATAAAATATTTTCAACTTTTATGAATAGGCTTTGTAAACTAGTCAATTTAAAAAAAAACAGTAGTGTGTGAAGATAATTTATAACAAATATTGGATTACAAGTTTTTAGCTCAGATCTCAATGTTTTTATAATTGCACAACAATTTTTTCATCATTCCGTTAAAGACATGACATTCACACGATTAGTAAAGAAATATTTATAAAACCACAATTTTTCACTAAATGATCACAGTGACAAGAGTAGACTAATAAAAATAGGAATCGCGACTAATATGTTTCTCCGTGTAGTACTTATGTTTATGTTTGTAGCTACCTAGTGCATTTTTCATATAAAAAATCAATTAGTACACGGAACCGCTTTTCGTTTAAACAAATTAAGCGATACCGCATTGCAATCTGCCCACTCAGCAAAGTGATGACCGATCTGACAAACGCATGACAAAACGCTAATGCAGTCTGCCTCTGCACAGTGTTGATTTTGGGGTTCACAACCAATAATATGCTCATAAATTGTGCATAGTTTGTAATTAATTGGTTTGCTTTCACCAAAATTTAGCTGCTTTCTTACACTATTTAAAATGTTTCGAGGATTAATGGTGGCTTTTACTGCAGAATCTTTAATGATTTGGTTCACTGGCGTTGTCTCGTTAACAACCTGCATAGACTTTGGGCTCAATTGTACTTTTGGTGCAACATAGTCACGGACAGTGTCTTTGGGTTTATAGGATATTGAATCCAATACATCTTTACCAAATTCAGAAACCGATGTCATTTTCCTGTTACTTGATGTTTCTTTTTCAAATCCATCAAGGACAGAATACAGAGCGTCGTTCCAATTGTCATCGCTAATCAACATTCTAGACTTTTTGATTTCAAGTGCGGCTAGCTCTTCGTCAACCTCGTCACGACCCATTGGGATGTTTTCTAATGTTGGTTGTGGAGTATCTGACTGTAATTCGCTGTAGAATTCTTTAAATGCAGTTAGTGAATCCACACACAGTATTTCATCTGGGATCGACTGTCAAAAATGTGTAAGAAAATTAATTTGAAAAATAAAAATTATGAAAAATTTATGAAGATAAACAAAACTAAATTTGACAGCAACCTTGTTAATCCTCTCTAGTTCCGCCAAAAATACTGGATAGTCGAATCGTTTGCCGTTGTGGGCCACAAAACAAACGGGAGCAGGTAATCTTTGGATGAACTGCATCACCATGTTATAAGTACTTTCATCAAATGGCTTGAAATTTTCAAGAGCATCATTCCATATGTCTATAAAAAATCAAAGATTTCACACGGCACTCGTAAAGCAACGAAATTAAAAGAAAGAGCAATAACACACCTGTGGTGTAGGAAGCTGAAGAAGTGATGGGTTGTTCTGGACATATTGGTATGGATAATTTATGTAAAATCCTGGGTAAAGCTCGCTTGTTCCTTTGATCCGCCCTGATGGAATTTCTGGCTGCAGCTACCATAGCTAGTTCAATAATTCTGGGCATTCGATTTCCACGTATTAATCCTGTTGTTTCCAAATCAAAGAAAACAAAAGTCTCGATCTTCTTGTAAATATCAATGGTACTGCTAGTCGCCATCCTTTGGCGATTTATAGCACCGAATGCCTTGAAGACGACGTCGCGTAGATGGAGGATCTTGCGTTGCTGCTCTGCAAACAAATACAGCAATGAAATGATATCAACGACTGAGTTCTGAATTACTTTTATTTAATGCTTGAAAGTGGAAGCTCAAATGATGATGGTTACAAATAGGAGTGGCTATAGGATGGACATTTTATCATTAATACTCACGAGCTGGTATCATTGAGTCTTATTATTACTGTGGGCTTGTGTGAACAACATTGATTGACAATGTTATCAATCATACATAGCTAAGAGATAACTGTTACACCCAATACTTAACACGTTTTTGTTGACATTAGATTCGGAAACGCGTGTGTGAAATAAAAGTAGCACGACGTGTCATTACGTCAATTACCACATAACTCTTCACCAAGATGAAATATGACTAAAACATTTTAGGTCTCCATCACGAATATTGTGAGATTTTTCAACTTTGGTGAAAGTGGCGGCTGGTTTACATTTTCGACACCATCCTCTCGGGCCTCAGCATTTACATTCAGCGCCATCTCGCGTGGTTGATTTTTAACTTTGAACTAAAAACTAAAAAGTGAGGCTAAAACTTTGAACGAACTGATTCACAGTATTCACACACATTTCACACATCACACTTTCATTTTCATTTCACACAGACACGAGGTGACGGAGGTCACGGAGTCACGAGCCACGAGATTTCTCGATATTCTCGAGATTAATCACCCGCTAGATGACTTTAATTAAAATACGTACACTCATCAGTGAGTCTCAGTCAGTGAAACTCTGATCTGTCTCGTCCCGGACCCTATTTCGGAACTATGGCGCGAAGTACTGTTCGATAGTAGGGTCCGGAACAGATCAGAGTTCCACTGAGTGTACAAGAGAGCAGCTTAGAGCACAGAGCGTCTTGATTTTTTCATTTGTAAACAATATCCGAAATATCGATGAAAATTGATAGCATGTGCATATAGTTTTTGTATGATATTTTATTAGCTTTTTCTGATTTACCTGTGGAATCAATACAGCTAAGTGTGCATATAGTATTGAAAATATGATAACTAAATCCCTCAATACTTGAAAATAGGAACAGCTCGTACATATACTTATTACTTGAGCTTACTGCGACCAGAGATTCACATAAGAGTGAGGATTTGAGGAAGAAAGAGCCATCAGAGTGCACGCATGCATACCTCCTCTCTTTTTTCTCTTATGCGGTCGCGAGCTCATAGCCCAAAGGTTTCGTTTCGCCGTTTCGCTTTTTTTATTTTGAGTTGTGATAGTACTTGTGATAAGTAGTTGTGATGCTCCATGTAAATGCAGCCTAAGCAATTTGCTTTTTGTTGTTGGATGAATCATCATGCTCATTGTCACTAATGTCACTTGCAAGTTGAGTATCAATCATGGAAAATATTTTCGAGTGATAGCTAAATTTCTCTGGAAAAGAGGTATCCTCAACTAAAAGTGGTCTTGTCTCTGGGCTACTGTATCCTTATTTACTCTTTCTACACTGAGGGTCTGAGGAAAGATAGTTATTAACCATGCTGGGCTCAGGACACCTACAGTCTAACTTGGCTGCTGCTGCTTTTCTGATTGTTACAATATTTTCAAGTTTATTTGAATACTCCAGTGCTGATCATTTACCTTTGACTCCAATTATTGTCACAGCAAATTACAGTACAAATTACACTTTCTCTATGAATTCGACCATAGAGTATGTTTTTTTGTACAGTGAAAGTGGTGTAAGTATATTTATATTGTTTTTGCTGATATTTTGTTAATTACACAAAGTTTGTACAAATACTTATCTAATGATTTTCATTGGTTCAGGTTAGCTCTCTCGAAGGTGCAAGGATCATAGTTGAAAGCCAAGATGCACCAACAAATTTTCCACTAATTGTAGTAGTTAGACAGAAAAAGGGTATTCTTTCCTGGCAAATACCTTTGCAAGTAGAAAATAAACACTTGATTGATCCTATACCGTATCACGTAACCAGCAGAACTCTATGTCCCTCAAAATACTACAAGGAACTTAGATTTACAGATAATGATCAGTATGTTACAATTAGCATATCAACAGCCAATATCAATAATATTACTTTCAATTTGGGATTGAAGCCTATCCAGAATTTTTACATGGAGTAAACTAGTTGCGACAATGCATTCTTTGTTGTACCAGAAAATAAAATTGTAAATAAGAAAATATTTTTGTTTTCCAACAGATCTGGAGAATCTAGAAAATTCAATATCACTCCATCAGAGCCAGTTTATTATGGTTACAAGTTTGATGGCTTAACTGACAGCTCTTCTTCTGTTTTAATTAGTGTTAAATCTGATTCTGAAGTTTGTATGACATTTTCTATTCAAAATACAACTGTAAGTAACCAAATTTCTCAAATTTTTTTTTCACAATTGAACCGATTTAATCAAAACATTTTTCTCTTTACAGTGTCCTGTCTTTGATTTGGAAAGAAATATCCAATATGCGGGATATTGGCAAACTGTTAGCTTACAAGGGGGCATCACTGTGCCAGTAAATATTTTTCATACATTTAATTTAGTTATAAATATTAACACCAATTCATAAAAATTTTGATCACAGAAAGATGTTTATCCAAAAGGCTTTTTTATAGTCTTGGTTGTGAATGCCGATGACATGGATTGTACAGGAACATCTAGTACCATTAAGGATCGAGTGAAATTAGTAAAATTGACAGTTGTAAATAGTGTAACAAGGCACGATTATGTAATAGCATGTACATCCGTTATGTCAATTTTGATAGCCTTTTGCGTTATATACATAACTGGTGCTGTTTTCTGCAAGTTCCGCAGATCACGGATTGCAAGAGAACAATCAGTTCAAGACGAGTTTGAACATGCTCAACAGAGTGCTAGCTCGCCTAGTGGTCCAGCTTCAGGATTTCAAGAAGTAAAAATTTGTGGACCTCAACAAAATAACCTTTTTAATGTGTAATGTATTAATTTTCATGCATTTAGATTGGAGATAGCGCAAACATTGCCCTTGATGATGACTCGTCATTGGATGAAGACGACATTGATCTTATGGAAGATGCAATGTGCGATAAAGAAGTTGTACGTACAAAGTTAATTCTTTCAGTTTGTGACCTGGCTAGAAAGGAACCTAAAATACTCCGAAAAAAGTCTCGCCTCTATGTATACTATCTCATTACTGTTGCCATTTTCTACACTGCACCTGTTGTACAATTAGTTGTGACGTACCAGAAGGTGCTTCATACCACAGGAAATCAAGATCTTTGTTACTATAATTTTCTCTGTTCCCATCCGCTATTTTTTTTATCAGACTTTAATCATGTGTTCACAAACCTGGGCTACATAATGCTTGGCTTACTTTTCCTCTTTTTGGTCCACATGCGGGAAAAAAATGATGACTTTTTACTCCACAATGACAGAGGATACGGAATACCACAACATTATGGATTGTTCTATGCAATGGGCTTTGCTCTAATGATGGAAGGAGTGCTTTCAGGAAGTTACCATTTATGTCCTAATCACAGTAACTTTCAGTTTGGTTGGTATTTACTAGGCTTTTTTTACTAATTTTTTTTTGTCAACTTATAAACTAAACATAAAAACGATGTTTCCATTTTCAGATACAAGTTTCATGTACATTATTGCAGTTCTTTGTATGGTTAAAATATACCAAAATAGACATCCAGATATAAATGCTCAAGCTCCAGTTACTTTTGGAGTTTTAGCAATTACTATACTATTAGGCCTAGTGGGTGTACTCGATGGCGAATTATACTTTTGGATATTCTTCACTGTGGTTCACCTGATGACCTGTTTATCCTTAAGTGCACAAATTTACTACATGGGAAGGTGGAAATTTAATGGAGGTGTTTTCAGGAGAATGTTGATGGTAACTCGATTTTTGAATAATCGGTCAAAAACACTACTTTCAAAATTTCATTTTGGTTTTAGACAATGAAGCACGATTCCCGTGCCGGCATCAGGTATCTATTTCGTCCACTTTACTGGAGGCGCCTTTTATTGCTATTAATTGGTAATCTTTGCAACATTGGACTCTCTGTGTATGGTATCAAGAATCATGATCAAGATTTCGCCACATATTTGCTGAAGGTTCTCATGATGAACCTTCTATTGTACACGTTTTTCTACATTCTCATGAAGGTGAGCCATAAATCTCATTGAAAAATTATACTCGATTCATTAAATTTGTAGCGTAAAATTAAATTTTTTTATTTCGAACTATTTACAGTTATTCAGTCGAGAGAAATTGATGCTGCATTCATTTATCTATCTTCTGATGTCATTTGTAACATGGGGAGGTGCACTTTACTTCTTTCACAGCAAAACCATATCTTGGGCGTTAACACCCGCTCAGTCACGCACTCACAATCGGCCTTGTGTACTCCTCAACTTTTTTGATTACCATGACATTTGGCATCTCCTCTCAGCCCTGGCCATGTTTTTCTCATTTATGGTACTGCTCACCCTTGATGACGATCTCTCTGATGCGCATCGTAGCCTTATACCTGTGTTTTAAGTACATGGGTTACAAAGATAGCTCTATAGTCTGTAAATTATTATGCAAAAGACTGTGATCAACTGTGCAAAACTGTTAATTTTTTTTTTTTTTTTTTTTTACCAGAGCAATGTTGATAATTGTTAATAGTGTCGTGAGACATTTAAAAATTTAGTGTAGTGTTCATAAGAATTGCTATGCTGTTTCATAGGCCTTAATTAAAGTTAATTAATTATTATATTGAAAAATGAATGTTAAAGATAAACTAGTAATTAAAAATCTTAGAACCGGCAAAAAATGCCTTTATTGCAAAATGTTGAAATCTTATTTTAAGATAAGTTATGCAAATTGTAAAAATAAAAAACTTGTATATATTAAATTTTATACGCGCCAAAAAAAATTAACCAAAACAATAAAGTATTAAAAAAGTACACATCCTCCCATGATTTTTGTAAAACAAATGCCTGTTTTACCAATTAATCAAATTTTCAACACAAGCATTTTTAGGATACCAATAATTTTGGCCAGGAGGTTGATTTAACTTTATGCAAATCATATTTGTTCAAAGCTTTAGCTCGAACGTACTCGAAGGAGGACCTTTGAGTAAGTATAATAGTGCCTGTTTGTGTACACATAAATTGTAAACTTTCAAATACTCAGGTCAACGGCAAACAACTGCATATGCATATTTAACTGCTGCTGCGTGTGGCGCGACTCTGCCCTCTGGCGACTAGCGAGAGTGTTCAGAGCTTCAGAAGCAAACAGCGAATCCGCAAAGTTATGGCGCGCTTTTTTTTATTTTGTTTTTTAGTTAATAGATTGAGAAAGAGAGAGCGCAGAAAGTGTGCACGCACACACACCGTCCTGAAGCATATTTTTCTCTAGCTTTTATTTAATACATGTATATGCGCCTACAAATTACAAAAGTGACGAGACAAAAAAAAAGCCGCCCAGGGCCGAGAGAGTGAGAGAGCAAACAGTGGCGCTAGTGTAGCTAAGGTAAAACTTTTCGGCTTCTCCGTTCTTGGTTAGTTGGTTCTTGGCAATGTTGAGCATACGTATACCTAAACCTACAGTTTTCCTATATCAAAATGCCAAGTCTGTCCTCGAATTCTAGCTGCGATAATAACCTTAGTTAAAGTTTTCCCAATTGAAGCCTAACTTGTTTCTTCGATTATCCATAGTAGGTATACATAAGTATTATCCCCAAGTGTAAAAAAAGTGCCAAAGGGTGAAAAAAAGTAACATGTCGTCTTAACACCCACGGCGCACAGTGTGTGTGTGTGTCGTCCCGCATCACATAGAAGTGATCGGAGGAGAATACCGGAGTAGGTTATTGTACGTACCTACTTATAATAAAAGCCATACGCCATACACATAGTTCATAAAATAATTTGTTGCATCTTAACGCGCGTGCCTACATCCTCCAATTCTCTCTTGAATGGCATCATTTCAACAGCAGGTACATCATCCTCACACACGCACATACACGTTTTGAGGTCCGTAGGCCGTGGTGTAGTGGAAGGCAGGCAAGCGTATGTTGACTTAGTGCGGCAGATACCCAAATACGTGTAGCGTGCGCGCAATTTACGTGTAGATTTGTCTCCTCCAGGATAACAGCAATCATCGGAGAAGACGATGACGAGAAAGCGCAAGCTGGCCGATCTCGGCAAGCGCTGCCGCTTTTGCTTGGCGCCCGACGCCAGCATGATCGCGCTCTATGACTCCAAGCAACAGATCGGCGAACTGCTAACTGATCTGCAAAAGTGCACCGGTATCCAGGTAGGAATCTTGTGTTCTTTCTTTGATTAGATTCCGTTGATACCTTTTTTGAGTCATCCATTGGTTTTAATTGCCATTCAAGTTCTTCAAATAAGCTCTCTGCTAGCACTTTTCAAGGTTATGTTTGTAGAGAAAAAGTGGCGGGGGCGGTGTGTTTACTGGTGGTGTTGATTTTTTTTTTTTTTTTTTTTTTTTGTACCTACAACAATCCAAGTTTGGTTCTGGAGTTTTTACAAAGTTCCCTGTTTGAATGGTTTACTAGAAAATAATTTTGTTGATCGTCTGTTTTGATAATAATTTGTTGTTCATACGGTTTTCAGTACAGTAATGGTTCAACTTTAGTAAGATTTACACTAATTTCGACTTATTTGATAACATTAAACTTCAATCGATCCGTGAACATCGTTCTTTTTTTCAACTTTTAAAAAAAAGTCACTTGTAAAAAAATATTGATAAAAATTTGAACCTAAATCCTACAAGTTTTTGTTTTCCCATGTGATGGACACCTTGTTTACAAATAGTGCATTTTACTGATATTTACTTACTTTTGATAGATATCAAGTAAAGCCAACTACCCAAAGAATGTTTGCCATGTATGTCTTTACAAGTTGGAAATGTGGAGTGACTTCAAGTTTCAATTCCTGAAAATCAACAAAACGCTGACGAATTATTTCAAGCTTTTCGAACAGAATGTAAGTGTGCCAAAGTTACTAATAACAATGAATTTTTATATTTTAATAACTATAATAAAATCATGTTTTCATTAACAGGACGATGTAAATGATGAAGATTGTTTATTACTTTCGGATGATAATAACTGGGTTAGCTTTGATAGTTGTAACGCAAAAAATGTTAGTTCACAAGCAGAAGAATCATGTTTTTCTCAGTTTCAGAAACGTGTGAAAACCTGTGAACAACCATTGAATAAATTATCTGAAAAGTTGCAAAAAACGCCTATTGTACCTTTAACGGACATCAAACCAATTATTGACAAAACTAGTGAAGAAAAAATCATTCGTAGATCTTCAAGAAAAACTGTTGAACAAGTATCGCTTGTCGAGAAAGATGATCAAGCGCATCATGAAGATATCAACAATGCTTCTCCCAGCCAATGTAGTTTATCTGATAGTCTCAGTCGTGGTAGCCGACGGCTCGGTCGTACCCGAAAATTGGAACGCGAAGCGTCGACTAAGCGATGGGTTGAGCGTAAGAATGCGCTTATTGTGGCAACAGGAAAACAACTCTATGAAAGTGAATCGGACAGCGATTCGCAAATGTCGCCGGTGCAGAAAGCTCGTATTGATAAAAATCTGAAGAAAAGAATGGAAAGAGAATTGAAGTGTTTGGAGACAAACTTGTCAGAGAAGTATTGCGTGAAGCAAGAAGATGTAGCTGGTGGAGAAAGGAAGATGAGACCACGCAGAGCTAAAGCAAATGTTGAGGAGTCAAGCACGATTACTCTCAATACGAGTACTAACAACGCAAGCACTAACAATACAAGCCCTCCAAAGACAAAGAAATCAAATACGACGAAGGTAAGAAAGTGTATGATTTAAAATTTCATCTAACAGTATACATTGTCTTTTAAAACTTATTACAGGAGAAACCAAAGCTAGACGTAAAAGAAAAAAGTGAGCAAGTAGTAAAAGTTGAAACAAAGGATAGTTCTATGAAAAAGGAACAGCCAACAAAACATGTAATATCAATACAACAAGAAATGGAAACTGATGAACCAAAAACAGAGGTAAAACAAACAATGACAAAAAGTACAGTGGAAAAAGAAAACATTGGAATCGTAGAAAATCAAAGGGTGAATGATAATGATAGAGAAATGGGAGTCTCAATGATTGAAGACATTGATGCCATTGAAATGGTAAAATTTCATCCTTTATTTATCAAATGTTAATTATACTTGCGTTAAGATAAGAGATAATTTGGTGAAAATTTTAGGAGGACGACGAAGACTATAGGCTCAAAGAAAATATAGAGAATGAAGAAGCTTCCAAAGCAAACGTGCCTGAATCAGATGGGGAGTCTAAGCTTAATCGTGAAGCAGATCAAGAAATGTTGAAACTATTGAATGATAATGTTAATATTTTAGATAAGAAAAACAATTCTTTCTCTCCTCAACTAATAACATCTGAAATAACAATCGGAAACGCGACTTATCTCGTAACAACAACGCTAGATATGCCGAATCCTACATCTTTAAACAATGATATTTCACAAACAACAAACGGCATTAGTATGGATTCAACTAGTCAAGATGGACAAAAAATTGATATAATGAATGCAGTACAATTACAAAAAGTTGATGGAGAAAAGGAAAGTGATCGATCACGTGTTAAACACAATGGAGTGTAAGTCATGATACGTTTGATTTTGATTATAAAATTATCTGTATATTAATGAAAGTTCCTTACAGGGATGTTCAAAAATGTCTTAAAATTGAGATTGAAGGGATGGAAGTTGAAGCATTACAACGAGTCCAGCTTGATCTCGCACACTTCATTAATGACGATATTCGTAAACGTTTGATCGAAGAAGCTGAAGGGCAACGTAAGACTGCACCTAAACCAACCAAATTTAAGGATTCCTACGAAAATCTCAACTTCCAGTTACGAGACATCATTGAAAATGTGTTGCGAAATACTTACACGGCAGATAAGCTCAATGCTGCGAACAGAAAGGTCCCGACTTTGCTTATCCAAGCAGCTGAGGCTTCGCCTATGTTTCAACCTAAAGTTAAAGTTACTCAGTTGGATTTTGATAAAGCTCGCAAAAACTTGGATACTGGTAAACTTAATGAGTATGAAAAGACTAAAGATGCACGTCGCCTAGTTGGTCCCTTAAGTCGCACCATAGGTAAACGACAGCCTATCTTGCCTAAGAGATATGAAGACTTCTCCATCAACTTACGGCCTTTGGATGATGAGGGTGCAGAAAAGAAACCGGCAGGCAGATTGACCCCTAATAAACCCTTAGCCGTAGCGCCTGTAAAAATAAACCACACTGGTTCGCTTGAGCTGGTCAATGCCGAAAAGAGTTCTACTCGCCCGACGCAAGTAAACTACCCATTCAAGCCAAAGGATCCGGCTATTTGCGAAGACTTAAATGAAGATTTAAGGTTTATTGAGACCCCTGCTAAAAAGAACCTGGCCGAGTGGTCATTAAATGGAAAGGCAGTGTCTACCCCAGCAGTGAATAAACTGACACCCATCGCAACGTCAACGCCAGCGCTTTTGACTACCCTCGAAAAAACTGTGTCAAATGTACCGGCGAAGCCTGTAACACCTGCGCTGTCTGTGCCAACAACTCCGGTGAATCAAGTGGGCAAGTTGAGCGTCCCAAAGACTAGCATAGTTGCACCAGAAAAGCCCGCGATGGCGATTTCTGTCACAAAATCCATCACTGCAAATATTCCCGTACGTATTCATTATCATCTGTTACTTTACTTAATGCTTTTCAATGTTTGTATGTTTCAACTTTTTTCGTTTTTTCTACAGGTCAAAAAACCTAGCGATGATGCCAAAATGTTGCCAACTCCAAAACGCGAACGCCATTTATGTGGCATGTGTGGCAAAGAGTTGTTCTCGATGCAAGAGGCTAATATTCATATGGAGCAACATAGAGCAGAAATAAATAGTAAAGACAAACCGTCAAGACCTACACTATCGGTTAGCACAAATAACGGTAACGCGTCTATTTCTACACCTACGAGTAATGTCTCGACAGGTAGTAATAACACCAGCATCAATAGCGTGCAAAAACCAAAGCCAAAGCTGATGCGTTGTAAGCGATGCCAAGCTATCGTTGAGGCTAAACATGTCAAGACTCACGTATGCAATTCTGTCAAGTATAATTGCGACATGTGTGAGTGCACTTTTGGCGCGCAACATTTACTGATTGAACATAAACAGACCCATATACAGTCTAAAAACAAGCCCAAAGCTATGGTGATTGTTCCGACTACCCCTACCAATACGACATTATCGACTTCGATAACATCAATAAAGACGATTAATAAGCCTAATCAAGTGAAGTCCAACCTTGTAAAGGACAAAACTCGTACTCAGAGTGGTAGTGTTGCTGGAAATTATGAGCAAAAGGTAGTGTCTGATGTAAAATTGTTTACTTGATTCAAACTGTGTATCATTCAAAATAAATTAATTCTAATCATTTATGTTTTAGAAGTCCGAAAGGGAAGAAGAAAAAAAATCTGATCCAAAAGTGGATAAGCTGGAACAGACTGTCCTAGATTCGGAAATACAGGGTGAGGACGACATGGAGGACGGTGAAACGCATGGAGTGGCGTGCTTCGTCTGTGACAGAGTCTTCTCAAATGAACAGCAAATGAAGGACCACTTACAGATGCACTGCGAGGAGGTGAGTGAAAGTATCGAAAAGGACAGCTTCACGTGTGCCTTTTGCGCTGATAAATTTCCTAATGAGGAACAGCTCGAGGAGCACGTGAATGTTCATTTGAACGAGGATGGTGACGAAAAAATCAGCATGATGATCGATGCCCAACTGGAGGCACGGCGCGATCGCCAGAGAAAACCCTTTGAATGCGATCAGTGTGGCGAAGAGTTCTTGTCAAAATCATTATTAGAAATGCACGCAGCTGTACACGAGGAGGAAGAGGAAGAAGAAGCTGCGGCAGAAGAAGAAACTCAAGCAGACGATGAGCTTGATAATCTGGAAAATCCGGAAGAACTTGAAGGTGACCACGTCTGTGACGTTTGCGATGAGATCTTTGATACACAAGCTGAGTTAAGAACTCACCGTGACACCCACAATGGCAACACTCATATTTGCATACTGTGTGAGATGCCATTTGTTAGTATCGAGGAGCTTCAAGAGCACGTATCCACGCACTTGTAAAAAGCAATCTTCAGAACGCTACGAATTTGTTAATGTAATCCCCCATTTTGTCTATTAGTTGTAATTTAATTCGAAAGGAAGAAGAGTTTTTGATGACGTCTGCAAAACTGTGGTTTTTATTCGATGCAACTCGAATTGAGAAGTTTTATTTTTTTTATTCATGATAGGCTTGTCTTTAAATCCAGCATAAATGTTTTTTTTTCTCGTAAGTTTTTATCGAGTGTTTCAAAGAAATACGCTCTTAAATTGATTTTTTACATATGACTTGAAAAATTTTGTAATTAAAAAATTGAAAACTTATTACAGATATGTTTAGTTGAAACTCGTATATTTAGATCGCTTGCCTATGAAAATATTTAACAAACATCAACAATTCAAACAATGTGAAAGAAAATAAGATTGTTGAGAACATTCTTTATTCTGGGGGGCCACAAGAGCAGATATATTTGATTACATATTACGCTGCAACACGTATCATAAAAAGTTGTACATTGATATCTAGGCCGCTAAATGATAAATAAATAAGCGTTATATAAAATTTTTCAATTCGGTTACTCACGAAAATGTAATATATAAATGAGTGTTAAGTTGAATGTGAAGCCTGTGTAATAATGTAAAAAAAAAAATATCTTGAGAAACAGAATAGTTATCTATTCTCATTAAAATTTTATTAATTTAATCTCAATAATAAGCGTCTGAGTAAATACTTGTATATTTCTCTAGTGATGAATCTTACTGAGTGAATTCATTCATTTTCAAGTGAGAAACATGATTTATTTATTCATTTGTGGCCCCTTAAACAGTTGAATATTCTAATAATTTTGGATATTATATAAGTAGTACAACTCTATTTGATATTCTGTGTTTTTTTTTCCATCAAAATGATATTGAATTTTGTTATGTAGAATAAGCAATGGATTTCATGGAATCTTTATGATATACTAATTAGACTTAAGTTCTTTTTAATTTGAAGTTAAAAATTAACAATAAATCATCATTGAAATATATTTTTTCAAACAAATTTTGTAAATAGTATGTCTTATTTAAGACATAAGACTTTTTTGGCTATAATACGATGTATAGATGCGTAAAATTACACTACTTGATATAAAAGAACATCTTGACTAAAACAACTGACAGGCTACTGTGGCAAGATTATAAAATAACATTAATCAGTAGAATTATTTTCATGAAATACAATGATACTAATTCACATTTTTCTTGTATTTTTTATCTTGCCATAAGAGCACAGTCTTAACGTATTTCCAGTACTATTATAAATATATTGTATTGGTTTTAATATTCCTTTCTTTTTAATTTCGATTTTACATTTTTTTTTTTTTCATCTCTTTTAAGAGATCATAAACCAAGGATATAAATAAATAATAATAATTTTTTTTAAGGGTAATTTATTATATATTCATAATATTAACTAATAATAAATTTACACATACTACGTAACAATTTTCCAAATCTCGTATCAACAAAGTCGTTGAAGAAAAATGGTTTGCTCGCGGAGAACGAGAATTAGGAAAAATCAGTCCAAAGCTGGCGAGCGCCCATATACGAAGAATCCAAGTGTCTTTCTTTATCATTACACTTATTCGCTCTACATTATTTTTTACATACATTGTTATGTACGTTGCGCAACAATTATTTTTCTCGTATTTCTCCTTTAACAAACCTTTGTAATTCATTTTGCCGTGGAACGTAGATTTTTTTTTCTTCATTGAGTTAAAAACAGGAGAAACAAAAACGTTCATCACTTATCAAATTTGACATATTTTTTATATCGAACATTTTTGCTCAAAATCGAGATTTACCCGAATTAAAAATTTAAATAATCACGAACAGTTGGCTGCTTGAATTTTTTTTTTTTTTTTTTTTTTTTTATTTATTTATAAGAGGGAGTACTTTTTCCATTATTTTCAACCTTTGCCAAAAATATAAGGGCTATAATCAATTAAATGCATTATCACGAAGGCCATGAAAAAAAATAAGTGCAGACCATCGCTTTTTTAACGCTATAAAAGCTTGGAAGAGACAAAAATTATACACTTTTATCAAACACTTTCTATGAATAAAATAATTAAGTGCTATGAATTAGATGAAAAAATATTGTCTCTTGAAGTTTCTGTGTAGCTTTAATTAATGAAATTTAATATTTTTTTTCTAATTATTTCGTAAATGCTGTTTATTCTGTGAAGGCTTTGGTGTACGGATGACAATGCCAACTGTACAGATCGATACGACATGCTCGTTCTACTTTTTATTCAACATAACTATTGGGGTTTCGGGAAAAGCATATTTTTATCAGTGCGCGCGCTCGTGTGTGTGTGTGTGCGAGTGTCAAGGGTCGATTGCATTATCATATAAAATCTGGAGGAATACATCAAAGTAAAATATAATGGCGATATTTTTTCTATCGACAACAGATTTTTCAAAAGTACTCCCTGGCATTGTTTATAATTAATACATGACTTAAATTTTATAGTTTCCCTTTCTATTTCCCCTTATTTTTTTTTTCTTTTTTATTATTGATTCTTAGGTCCCAGTTAATACGCAACAAGTCTTATTTGAATTGAATTGAGTTTTGGGTAAAACATGTTGATGCCTACTTCCTCGGCCCCTAAACTTCCTTTGTTAATGTAACTTGCGTTATATTAATTCAGATTAATCTTTCTTTTATCAATATACCTCGTTAAACGACAGTAATAGTTTTTTTAGCCTTTTATGTGTTATTACTCATGTTTCATATATAATATTCATATATATATATATATATATATATATATATAGCTATGTAATTAATACTATTATGTACAATAATGACATCATTCAGAATGTTTTTTTTTTCACTTATTTTTTTATTCATGAATTTCGACGTAACGTGTTACCGCCTACTCGGCGATGCACTCGCAAATGTCGCAACAACAATAAATTAAATACACAAATCTCGCTCTCTCTCTTTCTCTCTCAAAAAAAAAAAAAATAAAATAAACAGGAATACTATAGATACTCACAAATATCTCTCTTTCTCACGTGCACTCGCTGTAAGAGGAAGAAAGCTCTCCAAGTGTCAGGTATATTTATTCCACACTCTTGCATCGTTGAACAAATTATTTGTTGAGCAGTATTGTTTATGTAACCATCGTCGCGAAAGAGGAGAGGTAAAAAAAAGATAACATAACAACAAAAACGTAAAAACGATCCCTCTTCCACAATTTCCGTCTCTGTACGTACACCTTAAAGTTATTATCTCATTCTTTTTCTCTTTCGCAAGTTAAATACACTAGCGACGGATTTTTTTTTTTTCTCACTATACCCTATAGTCTACCTACGTATGTGTTAGGGAAAAAAATCGCCCGTTCACTTTAATTTAACCTTTCATTTCTTTCGTTATTTAACTGTTTAGTGTATGTCCTTTGAGTCTTGATGTATATACGGGTGTGAATATAGTTTTTTTTTTTTTTTTTTACGCTATGCAAGAGTTGATTAATGCTGAGGGGAATAAAACCGTCTTCTCGGTGTATGTATCTCCGCCGTATCGTCTTGGGGCATGTAATATGTGCAATTGCGCTGATCCACCTCGAAGATTAAACAAATGGCGCTGATACTGACGATTTGCTCTAAAGCACGCGATCGCTTTCATTTATCGGCTGATTTGGTTTCTTTTATTATCCATTATTATTTCCCTTTTTCTTGTTCTCTTCCTTTCAACATACACTTGTTAATGTAGACTTTAATTATTTCCTTTTATTGAATATTCTCTCTGAGTCACGTGAACTTTGGCTTCCTTTCTCTTAAGAAGCCGGGGAAACCGGATCCACGTAGTTGGCCGGATACAAGCCGACCTTGCCGTCTTTCCTGCCCTTACACCAGCCCTGCTCGTCTTCGTCCTCGAGTTTTTCAAATATGTCACCTGAAAATTACCCACAACGTTATACATTATCAATTGGTATCGACAGCAAAATTGGAGGAATAAACCAATCGCACGGACCTTCTTTGAAAGTGAGCTCGTCGGCCTCTGTGCCGTCGTAGTTATACAACGCCTTGACGGGCACTCCGGGCTCGCCGTTGTCGACCAATGGTTCCGCCCCGTCCTCGTCCCATTCTTCTTCATCGAAAGGATTTGACTCTTGCTTGCCGTTATTACTGCCGTTTCTGTAATAAATAAAATCAAATAATTATCACACCATGTGATTTCTCGCGACGTTTCGAACAAAAATAAAAACTTTTTTTTTCAAGACACTTACGTAATCGTGGAATTTCTGTTGACCGAGTTAGCGTCGTGGTTGTTTTTCTCGGGCTGAGGTTTCGTCGAGCTGTTCGTGTCGGTTTTACCGTCGCTGTGATTCGACTCTTGCGATATGACTCTGCTCGCGGGCTTTGCCTTGGATTTGTTGTTCGTTGGCGGATAATCCTGTAAATGAGTTGATTTTCGAAAAAAAAAAAAAAAAAAAAAAAAAAACGAACAAATGAATAATAATACTTTTAATACTTATTATTTTACGGTTAAGATGAAATCGGTGCTATAAATGAGAGTTTGCTCGGTGCAAGGAAGATTTTTTCTTTTTCTTACCGTGTACTTAATTAGTGTTGCGAATTTTTTTTATTTAAATCAGATGATATATATTTGTTCGTTATGCGAACAACTTTGTACGCCAATTATCGAGAAACTTTTTTTTCTAGCGTCAGAGTGATAAAACGTCGATATCAGAGATATAAATGATGATGGTATAATAATGACATCATCATAGCAAGCGAGGATGTAAGTATATTTATAAACGCGTTGTGCTAATGGTATGAAAAAAAGTGCGCTTCTCTCGTTGAAATACATACAGAGAAGAAGAAAAAACAATGTGTATTTTATGTTCGTTCGATTCGGCGACAATCGCACTTACCGATCATCAGTTTAAACCATCCGATGGATTCTAAGAGCAAATACTAAGAGATACCAACTCTAATGTCGTGCTTTGTTGTATCAATTATGCAGACACATACATGTACACACATTACATAAATATTTTACCTCCCAATCTGTGTGCTCTCTCTTTTATGATCCTCAAGTTACAAGTAGTGCACAAATATATTATATAATTATATGATCTACGTTACCATCTGATTTTGATCTTGTGTTTTGTATTGCGTAAGCGCAAAAGAATGAACAAACGCGTTCACTCGCATGTGTGAGAAGAAAACGGAAGAAAAAAAAAAAAGAATTGGATATTTATGTTTACGGGTGAGGTGAGAAAACAGAAGAAGATCGTTGGGTTACGAGGATGGAAAAAGCACGCGCGTGTATAAATTCGCGAGCTCCTCGCTGGGAGAGTGAATTGCGACTTGTAAACAATCGCCAAACGGAGTGCGGAAGGATTCTTCTTGTTTCTTACATTTTTTATTTTTTTATTTTAATCGCACGCACTTTTTCAAGCCTCGTTTTGCAAAACACTCGCTCTTAAATATTCTAAAATCGACCCGAGCACGGATCGAAATCTTCGTTTCGAACCAATCATTGTTAAGCATTTGAGGCAGTAGGTAAAGCCATCGGTGACAAAAAACCAAGTCGATAAGAGTATATTTAAGAGACAAAAAAAAAAAAAAAAACACAACAGCGCGAAGAAAAAGCTTAGAGGGGGGAAAAGAAAACAGAACGAAAAAAAAAAAAAAATCATTACATGCAGGTCCTCGCCGACGGGGCGTTGATTGATAAGGGTGATTTGTCCGGCGGGCAGTGCCTCCTTTGACTTGGAGCCCTTGGCGATGTCGCGGAATTCCTCGGTGTAATCCTGCGTGTAAATAAGCAATGGGCACACACAATTCCAACATGCATGCATTCCAGGGCGTGTACTCCCCCCCTCTCTCTCTCTCGTTTATGAGCTTCGTGTTTGTAGCATCTGCTCGCGAGATTCGCTTTTTCAATGGAACGTAATTGAAGGGCAATAAAATATTATATGTGCCCGATAAAGCGATCGTTTAGCAACCGTTTCTCCTCCTTTTTTTCGTGTTGGCGTTGCTGGGAGATTCCAGAGGATTAGTTTTGCCTTGGGACGAGGAATTTCATTATTTTTTTTTTTTTCCACTATCGAACGAATAAAGTTTTATGACGCAGCTCGGGATCCATCAAATATTTTACGTGAAGGAACTGTACTCGCGGACAGCGAGTGGCAAACGATTTATCAAATCCGAACGGCCGTGCAAAACAAACGATCTTCCGCGTCTCACGTCTCGTGCAATGTTGTACGTGCCAACTCGTACGGTATACAAGTATACATGGTATTTTCTCTCCGCGAGGCGAATGAACGAACGAGTTTGAATCATTAGACAAGTCAGCGACTGCAGAGAGAGAGAGAGAGAGAGAGAGAGAAAACATCCACAGGTTTGCAAAAGAAAAAGGGAGGGGGGGGTAGTCGTACAAGAGACTTTTACATTCCCCCAAGGCGTCTTAACATGGCTTTGAAATGCAAGAAACATTATATAAACAAGTACCGGCTGCAATTAGCCGGTATTGTACAGCCGAGCACATTACACTGTGGTTTCGTGTTTCGATTCAACGCAAGGGCTTTGCACAATGTGTCGAATCGGAATCTGTTTCTCAACAGTTCAAAACTAGAAGACGCAAAACAAGGGATCATCTAACAATCATGTCACTAAAAACATTGTAAAAAAACATAAGTTGAGTCTATGATCTATCAACAAGTATTAACAATAGCAATGAAAAAAATACAGTCAAATAAAAAGAAAACTATTACTCGAGTTCAATTGGAGCATGCGAATTTCTGAATTTCGGGTCCATCCGGCAAAGTGACTTACACAGGGTATGTACAGATCCCCTCGACTTACCTCGAACTGAGGCCAGGCCATGGCCATGTTAACTCCATGATTGTTCGACCACCATTTAAGATCCTTTTCGTGGTCTGCGTTGTTGATCGTATGGTACAATTCTTCGTAAATTTGCGGAAGCCTGAAAAAAAAAAAAAAAAAAAAAAATTGACAATCTCGGCGATTTCGGTTAAAAGTCAACGTGACGATTGACAGCGATAAATGTACTCACTCTGGATCTTGATAAATATTTAGGCATTTGTGAATACCGAAAAGCACGTCCTTAAAGAATTGAAGCCGCTGGGCTTCCATTTCTTGGCACTTTTCGTACACCTGAGTCATGTCCTCCATGTATTTGGGGTTGTACTGATTGATCTCCTGTAATGCGCTCTCGTACTTTTCCTTGGCCTTTTGCACTTCCTCCTTGGATTTTTGCACCCTATCTTGCAATTTCTTCACCTACGTGGACGAAAACGGGAAAAACGACAAGCATTATTTACATCATATTCTTTCGACTAATATCCTTTCTTTCTACGGAAGACGAAGCTCTTGTCTTCACGAATGGCCAAGACTCGACAATTTTTTTTCTTCTTCTATTTCAAAGTATTTACAATGTTATTATGCGATAAGCTGTAAAATGCTCTTGATAAATAATTATATTCTCGTGCCTTGAAAAACTTTGCTGTATCGCTTGTCTTTTAAATTGTTCATTAAGGAGTTGATTAATGATTTTAAAAATATATTACATTTGAGACCTCAATTTAAAAAATTTTAAAATAATACAGCACGCATCTATTTACAAGCATTACTACGTTATGTTAGAAAAAAAAAATACAATTACAATATCACATGTATATTTAATCTTACAGGTATCAAAATGTCTCATTGAATTGAATCAATATCAATACTCTTTACTTGATACACCATGAAAAAAAATCTATAGCCAATATCGACGTGCAAAGCTATATTGTATTATTAAGTCTTGACCTTCGATTACATAACAAACATCTATGAAAGAAAACGCAATAACAATATTAATTTTGTAATTCGTAAACATTCACAAACAAAGTGTGAAGACAATTTACAACTAGTCTAACGAAGGGAAAAAAAAGTTCTTTAAAAAATTGAATGCAAAAGAAGAATAAAAAATAGCTTTCAGCGAGCACTAGATATTGTTTGTCCTCTAAAACTTGCAAGCTCAAAAAATAATGTACTAGATAAATAGTTGTGCTCGAAGGTAAAGGCAACGAGCTTTTATTTTTATGTTTCTGACTTATCAAAATTATAAAATGTAACTTTACCATAAAACTTATAACTTGTGTAACAAACAAATTATAAATTTTTTTTTTTTCAATTATTAGTATTGAGAGGTTGGGGAAAAAAACCTCAAAAAAAAAAAAAAAAAAAAAAAACATTGTTAATCGTGTCTTTACAAATGACTACGTTAATTCGTTGTTGTTTTTCCCTTACCGTAAGAGCTTTCTGTGTGTAGTGAATTGCAAAGTGATGCACAGTGGTAGGTTAAGGCGCAACAAGACATAAAAAAAAACAACAAGAACAAACTAAATTAATAATATTTTTAAAAAAAGGAAAAAAAAGAAAAGCATGCAGGACATGCATTTATTGAATAGTAATAAAAGTAACAAGAAAATAAAAAAATAATGTTGTTTGTACAATGTTTTTGTTGATTTTGTAATCGTTTTTACGTACAAGCTCGGCGTCGCTAATCTTATTGTTCGATTTCCTAAAGAACTTTCGTATTCTCCTGGACAACGCGTTTAATCCACAATATGTCATCTACAAAACGTCGTCACATGGTTTCTTTTACAATTGTTTTCGTTGTCTAAAAGGCCGAATTCACGTTTTTTTTATATTTTGTGATGCGGAAAATTTTGAAAATGAATGTCGAATTTTTGCTTTTCGATGACTGATGTTGCGAGTATACCTACACTAGTTTTAAAGCTTATTGTTTTTAGAGAATGCGTGTATTTTCAATTAAATTAATACTATCGAGTTTATAGAAAATAGGGGAAACAAGAATCATAAGAACTATTACACAGATAACAAAAAGATTAATAAACATACGATCGTATAATGTATAAGCTACGCACACCAAAATTATCAAGACTCGCTTCTAATATTATAAGAAAATTGTACAAATTATTTAAAAAGGGTCAATTAAAGCTACACAGAGCATCAACAAACTCATGCATATTTTTTCTAAGAATTATTATTTTATCTTCAGCTTAAAAAGAATAAGAACGACATGCACGACTGAAAATTATCGACATACGCTGTCAGAGCCTCGGGCAGTCTGAAAATAACGTATGCTAAAAAATCTTTCTTGCTAACTTTTTTTTTCTACATTTTTAATATTCCTTATTAATGAAGTGAGCGGAATGTTCTTTTTTTTGTTTGGTTGCGAGAAATAAATTTAAAAGTTAATTATTTGCAGATTAATTATTCACGCTAATTGGGACAGTTGAACCAAAAAAAGCACAAACTTTTCAGTTAGTTTATACTCAAGTTTTAGTTCTTTTTATTTTTTTTTTTTGTTCGCACTACAAAGTTAGGTACACACTGACAGTCTCAGAGTTTTTCTTATTGCACAAGTTGATTGTTATCATGATTTTTCGCTTACGATTCGATATTAATGACAAAGATTAACAATAATTACACACTGCAATCAAAGCGTAAGTTCTTAAAATATTTGATATTACGAGGTAAATCATGTCTTCAAGTAAAAAATAAATAATACACCGTCGATGAGAGACTTTGCCAAATAATGAAATCGATTGGTATAGGATTGGCTGAACAAATGACCGTAGATCGGTTGGGTTTGTGCGCAGCACCAACCGATCGAGTCGTTTGTTAGCATGTATCCATAAGCCGAAAATTGCGAAAATCTCGAGAAGTTATGAATGACGGGAATGAGCGGCGATCGATCAAAACGTAAAGAGAGACAATTGGACACCATACCTGATCGGGCGACAGCGAACTGTCGGCGCAGGCGTTCCGCTCCATGTTGGCCGCGCTGCGCTCGGACTTGCAGCTGTTGTGGTAGTCGCTCTTGGCCTTCTCGACCTTCTGCAGGATCTTGGACCACGGCTTCTGGGCCTTCTTGAACGCGTCGTCCATGTCCTTCTTCTCCTTGAGGGTCATCATCGTCTGGGCGCGGAAACACACACCCGCTCGTTAAATAACTACCAATCAAAGGATCGTGGGGAGGGGGGAGAGGAAAAAGAGGGGGGGGAGCCAACCTTGTGATAGGTGTCCTTCTGCCACGTCTTGACCTGCTGTACGATGTTGTTGCAGAGGTTGTCCCGAATCCTGGTGTGGAGGTCGCAGAGCCGGTCCGCCTCGACGAGGACGCCCTTCCAGGCGGCCTCGGTGGTCCCGTACTCTGGTCCCTTCTCGATCTTCTCGTTCCAGTGCTTCGACCAGGTTTTTAGGGCCTTCACGTACACCTTTTCTATCTCGGCGCGCTCCTGGACGAGGGCGATCAGGCCGTCGCAGAGCTTTTGCCCGTCCTCAATGCGCTTGGTCGTGCGCTTGTAGTTGCCCGGCTCCCAGAACGAGTCCGAGGTCGCAATCAGCATGTTGTCGTCGCTGTGGTGAGACATGCTTAGGGTGACGTTTGCTCGATTGGCTTGTAAATGCTCAGGTGTGCTGGTGCTGATTGGTTGATGTTTTTTTCTTTTTTTTTTTTTTTTTTTGCAAGGTTAGAGCTCTCTTACTAGAACGGGTGGTGCGTGCTGCAAGTCGCCGGTTTACCGTGGACGGTGACTACAGGCTGGCCCGAAACCCTCTTCTTCTTTTCTTTTTCCTCAGACTATATACACGTACAATCAAAAGCAAAGATAAGACCTGAGTTGTTGGTAACACTATTTATTTATGTACAATATTTTCTATGTGTATCGCACTCAACTCGATAACAATATGGAAGTAGAAAACGTGGACAGTATCTCTCTGGAGAAGTATCGATGGCTATGTCTTGAATATTAAAAATTTACCACTGAAAATATTTTATTTTCAGGAAAAATTTGGCCAAATCAGGAGGAACAAAAAAAAATTGTGAAGACTGGGATGCGATAGTGTGTTGAGGTTAGTTACCATCGAGGTTACCATGTTGGTGGTGTGTATATAATATAGTATATTACGTGTTTGTGTCGATGTATCGATTAATTGCAATATACTTAGTAAAGTCATGTAATAATGATTAATATAATTATCACCTCGCATGAAAACATGATGAAATATTAAAAACGCGTTAGGCTCATCGAAAAATTAATTCGCGCGCAAAACAGACACTAACATTGTTAAATTATACATTATATGCGTGCGTAAGTAACTGCAAGAATCCGGTCTGTGTATGGTAACTTATGTATGTAAATCATCATAATATTCTACAGACACACACTGCTGTGGATATAATAATATAATGTACACGTGTACATGGATGGTATACATAATCCAATATAACGCGCAAGAGGTATTACCTATCCCATTGCACGTAAACTCCCGACAAGCATCGGAACGAAAGCTATACGTATAAGGGTTCCCTTGTACACGTTGGTGCGTTAACAGGGATCCTCTAAGTGTGTCGGTGGGTGACACAACTGACACCAGGCCAACACAGTCAATTTCGACCAATCAGTGAGCTCCTTTAGCTGCGTATTGGCTGTGTCGCCTGCCAACACGTTTAGAGGATAGGGCCCCAGTGGCAAAGCTCTGGATCGAGCGAATAATCCACGGGGTAAACTCTGCGAGATCAGCCTTATTGGATTGCCCGTCCGGCGACGATCATCGATTGGCCCAATTCGCGAAGCCACGCACATGCTACAAATTACCTGTCTCCCCCCCCTCTCTCTCTCTCTCTCTCTCTCTCTCCTTCTTTTTCTCAAGTATATAAGTGTACGTACTTACTTACTGTGCTCGACATCCGATATGTTATAAGCTCACAATACGTGTATACACGAATGTTTCGTGCTCTTCGAGTTCTCACATTTTTCTATTTGTTTTTGTCAACGGTTCGTCGAACCCGAGAACAAAAAAAATATATGTTTCATTTCAGCGCAGAGAGCGTACTTTTATACGGCAGTCTTTCTGAGTTGAATGCGACCGATCTTACTAAAACCGAGAATGTGTGTAAACTCGATATTTTCACAGCAGTGCAAAAAAAACAAAGGAAAAATAGGTCATCGCGATGTTTCAGGGGGAGGGGGAAAGTCACAAACGAAAGCGTCGCGGTCGTCGGCGGGGGAATCCAATTTCTCAATGGCATTGATTGAATTCGATTCGCCAGCGGTGTACGTGTATCGTGCGTGGCTCAATTCGCGCTCGTTACACGCGCGACATTGAAACGAATCAAGTGACCCACATATTGCGTGTTAATATACCTACGCCCGATTTATCCCGATTTCGACCTGTCCGTCAGCCCCTCTCTTTTACACTATATATTATAATCGCGCTGATGACCGAGAGAAGCACGGTAACGGTATTCTTTATTTGTTATTTTTTTTTTATATATATATTTATATGCATACTTTTTATAATGGTCTACTTGAAAAACGAGAAATTACCAACTGTAAGCACTTGTCGATGTAATAATCGAAAATGATTGAAACGAATGAGTTTCGGTATAAACTAATTAAGTAAAATCTTTCTTTTTGTACATATGCCAACATGTACCCGCTTTGTACACATGCCAACCCGAGTTAAAAAAAAAACACACGCAACTCAGCTCGCGCGAATTCTCAAGGCTCCCTTCTTTCTGTTGCACCGCACACGAGGGAGTCTAATTGCACTCTCCGCGAAGGATAACACGTAACAATAGCGCGCACATCTTTCTCCCTCTCCCTTCTCTCTTTTGCGTATATTTATATAAATCAACACGCGTCGCACGTATACGTATACCTAATACCACGTCTGTAGTCTCAACACACGGGGAATATAGAAGGGGGAAACAAAAAAAAGAAGCGACGCGCAATTTCGCGCATTTCGTCAAGTATACGTTGTACTCGCACACGCGTATAGGTATATACATTGTAATGCCCAGGGGCGCGTCTTTTGTCGTGGTGAATTTACCTCGTCGAGATAATGTGTGCATATATCCACAAATCGAAAGTGCACAGTAATAAAAACATTGGGAGAAAATAAACCTGTGGAATATATCGAGTAAATTGGGCCACGCGGTTGACGGCCTTTATTAATCACAGCACGCCACAACAATGACATAGGCATGCCATTGCTTATATCGTAGAAAAAAAAAAAAGAAGCGAGTATTTTCCATGTTTTCCCCGCGCCGAGTTTTCTCATTGTTCGACCCAGACCCGCTGCACTCTCGCGTTCACACTCGGTTTCGCGAAAATTAAAAACACTGCTCCGACGGCGCCCGTACACCGCAAACGACAACAGCTAAAAAAAAAAAGTCCCGCGTACGACGTGTACTCGCGTGGGTGCAGCATTCCCGAAATTAAAACAAGATGAGTGTCTCTCGTGCGTGTGTGCACGTGTAGTTGGGTTATAGCAAGGGGGGAAAAAAGGGAAAGGGGGGCTCAGACTGTCGCCCGTGAAAAAGGAGGTCGCAAACGGATCTCCGAGAGCCGGAAATGCAAGGCCGCGCGCACGCGTATAATAGCCTACTACTGTAATATTGTACGTGGGCATTCTATTTTAAATCCCCACCTTTTTTTGTGGAAGGATCCGATTCTATGTGCCTCCGACAAAAAGAGATACGCGAGACAATGCTTTGCGACTCTTTCGCCTCCGACTTGTGTGTGAAACTGCTGACGCGAATGTATATACCTGTGTGTATAATACAATAGAATACGCCGCGGTGATTTTGATGATATTTAGTAGGTATGTAAGTGCACTGGAATTCAGAAAATCAGATCTGCTCGCCCTATCGCTCGCTCGGAGTAGTGTAGTCACGTGTAACGAAAAGAAAAGAGTAATTAGATACTTTTTTTAATCAAAGGATTCATCACGCGAATGTTTGTTTGGAAAAGTGTTAGCGGTAACCTGTACATAAGATACGCCTAATCCGGTAGCATATAGGTTGCAAGACGTACACGATAAAAACTTTCCAGGCGCGAGAGTTTGGCGAGAGCTTACCCTACATTTGGGCGTGTGTAGAGTTTGCCTCGAAAACCCTTGGTATTTAAGAGGGACTGAATAGAAAATTAGAGGACTGTACCTATACGACTGCGGTGTGTCAGCTTTGTAGGTCGACGTATAATGGCATACCAAAGGAAACCGGTGTATTTCTCGGGACGAAGATGGAAAATTCCGAAGCTGGATTTTAAATATTTCGGGAAGAAAAACAATTTGATTTAATTGGCTAAAAAAATATTCTTCTACAAGTTAGTCGCGTAAGAATCTCAATTCATATAAACTACTCGTGAAACATAGAAACACCGAAGTCGGCTTGTGCCATTAATAAGAACACCCGCGTTTAATGACCCCACACATAATATATATAGCCAATAGGTAATTGACAAAATACATTGAACTACATCACGTAGGCTGCCATACGTGCTCGCAATCGAAAACAGAAAAATCATGTCGGTCACTGGACACTTGTATTTTTATTATTACCATTGTATTGTTCATGAACGAGATGATGTACACCGACCTCAATGGATCATAGACACCTTGAAGCCTGTCCCGCTACGCGTAAGGTGACACTTGACGAACGGGCACACAATAATTTCGAGTGTACAAGTATAAAGAGGCCCCAGAAACCTATGCGTGAACCAACGGTATATTTATGTTGGGCGCAATAAAGCAGCAACGCGGTACTTTTGTTTGTAATGCGTACGTACCTACACCAATACTTATTTAAGCGCAACTTTGATACACGGGCTCTGTACCTAACTGTGTGTAACGTCTCGCAAGTGCGAAAATGTACATGTGCAGATAGATGTGTGTATACAAGTATACGTATGGTGTAATGGAATGGATGTTGATTTTGCTGCTGGTGTTTCTCGGAAAGATTTAATTACACGTACACCACCACTTTGTTCCGCATGAATTACACAATTACGGTAGATAGTTGTATACTCGCGTGCTCATATAATTTACTTATACATAAAATTATCAAAGGTACCGGTTATCTTAAATAAATTTCATCCCACCGATCCAAAAATTAATAAAATCAACTCAAACCCTTGGCTCAAAATTACAATTAGTTGCATACGAAAGATTCAATTTGCGAGGTATGATGATACAAATATGGTATATATTATAATGTGTGTTGTGAAATCAAAAAAAAAAAAAATAAATAAATAAATAAAAAAAAATATCTGGAGATGTAGAGAGTAATAAATTGACCGGTTAACCGTATAAAAAAAAGAGAGATATACTCAACTCGTTGTTTTTCCTTCGGCCGACACCTGAACGCGACCCAGTTGTATCTCTTTCACACATGCATTGGCACACGCCACACGATATTCATAAAATATACACGCACAAATGTCTCCTTCACCGGTTATCAAAAGAGAAAAAAACAAAAAAAAAAAAAACCACCAACAACGTTACTTACACGCATATACAGTACAGATAGCGCTTATGTATCGAGGGTGACGGCGACGCCGGGACGCTAATGTTCATCGACGGGGCTCATTAACCATCACACGCCGCGCATCCTCCCGATATCTCAAACCGATTCTATACTCCCTCCTCGGCCGTCTTTTCGAGAGAGAGCAACGAAAGTAACAGCGCCATAGGGTCCCATACACAACACGCGAGAGCCGCCGGCAAAACCGCATTCCAGCTGAGGGTACGTTCCCATTCCAAAGGAGCTTGTAGCGTGTGTGTGTGTGTGTACCG